AGGACAGATCAGAACACTTCGCTCATTCACAGAGACAGACGAGGCTGAGCATAAACTGGTCATACTGGTCAAAGATAATGGCAATGTTTCACTCTCAGCAACAGCTACTGTCATTGTCAAACTTGTGGAGCCTAAAGAGGCTTTTGCAGCTTCTGATGTGAAAAGTTCAGCAAAAGCAGATGAGGATAATAATGTGACTTTTTACCTGATGATAACTTTGGGCTCAGTTTCAGCACTTTTTCTCATCAGTATCATCGTGCTGATTGCAATGCAGTGCTCAAAATCCACAGACTATACTTCTAAATATCTACAAGAGACTAACTATGATGGGACACTGTGTCACAGCATCCAGTACAGATCTGGAGACAAACGCTACATGTTAGTTGGACCCAGAATGAGTATAGGGTCTACTATAGTCCCAGGAAGCCATGCGAATACATTAGTGCTCCCTGACAGGAGGAGAACATCTGAAGAGGTAAGACCTTTATGCGAAAACTGTGTCCATTGGCAGTGTCTTTCGTTCAGTAATTAGTTCAGTCCATGATCCACTGCCTATACTCACTGCATGAGTACTGTTTTCTTAGCATCACAGTGTACTTTTGTGAAGTTGTGAAGATGTGACTGGCATCCTGTGCTTGGTTTTCAGTTGCAATTTTGATCACACTGAGTGCTTTTAGTCATAGGTGTAACCATAATAGATGTTAACATGGGTTGTGGCAGGCCTACTTCCTGCCCCATCCCTTTGTTATTTCGTAGTCTCCTTCTTTTTCACTATACTTTATATTCTACTTCACACTATAAATACCATTACATCATGTGTTTTTGTTCATGAATTTTAAACAATTTCAAAACATCAAACATGTGCGAGGGTTTGATGCCTCCATCTCCATTTAGCGTTGTTCAGGTTCTGCTCGTCAAATAGGCCTTATTGTTCTCCTCATCTGATGTGTTGTTTGTCCAGAACCTCAGAGACAAATGAATATGAAACTCTGCCATTCTGCTGAAAATACTGTAGAAACTTTGATTTCCTTGTAGTGAACAGTGGGATCGCATGGTGTCAGTGTGTTATGAAAATAATGACTGTAGCTTCTTGTCACTGCATTTTGGTCCCACCTCTTTATAGCGCTTTGAATCCGATACTGAAAGAATCGCCGCTCGGCTGCCTTTGTAAATATTGTCCTGTATTATTAACCTTTTTGAAAGAGTGATCATTGGCATACCCGGATGTGTTGGATTAATTTCTTTCCGTATGATTATTAATCCCGCAAGGATTCGAAAAGAATTCTGTTTTGAATCATGGAACAAAGAGGATGCGAGTCGATGAGGGCGAGAGGACGGTGGATCAGCTGCGTGGTTGCTGTGCTTTTGTGGAGTCTAGCCTCAGCGCAATTAAGATATTCAATCTCTGAGGAAGTTAAAGAACGAACTGTGGTTGGAAATATAGCAAAAGATCTGGGATTAGATAAAAGCACACTGAAAGACAGGAAGTATCGGATTGTTTCCAGTCGTCCGGATCCTCTTTTCTATGTTAATCAGAACGATGGCATCCTGTATGTGAGCCGAAAGATTGACAGAGAAGAGGTGTGCACGCAGAGCAGTACGTGTTTAATAAATCTAAAAACCGTGCTAGAAAACCCACTGGAGGTGCACTATGTAGGAGTGGAGGTGCTGGATATAAATGATCATTCTCCCAGTTTCCCAGAGAAAGAGACAACGTTAGAAATTTTCGAGTCCGTGTTACCTGGAGTACGTTTTCCTCTAAAAGCATCACGAGATCCAGACAGCAGTCCTTTCTCTGTTCAGCAATATAAACTCAGCCCAAACGACCACTTCCGTTTGGAAGTTAAAGATAAAGGAGAAGATGGTAAAATACCTATTCTAATTGTGCAAAAATCTTTGGATAGGGAGGCAGCGGGAAGCCACTCATTAGTGCTGACCGCGCTAGATGGGGGTAAACCTCCGAAATCTGGCGAAATGAATATTCTAGTAAATGTTTTGGATGTGAATGATAACACACCTGTTTTCTCTAAGGATATTTACTCTGTTACGCTCATTGAAAATGCTCCAGTAGGCACTACTGTTGCACAAGTGAATGCAACTGATTTAGATGAAGGACCAAATGGAGATGTTGTCTATTCATTCAGCAACAGTGTGAGTCATAGATTGTTAATTCTTTTTGATATTAATCCATCAACAGGTGAAATAATTGTGAAAGGGTTAATAGACTTTGAGGAAAAGGACAAATATGAAATTGAAATACAAGCATCAGATAAAGGTCTAGCTCCTTTATCAACACAAAAAAGCATCATTATCAAGATAGTTGACCTGAATGACAATGCACCTGAGATTGAAGTCACCTCATTTTCCAGCTCCATCCCTGAAGACTCCAGACCTGGAACTACAGTTGCCCTTATCAGTGTCAATGACCTGGACTCTGGTCTTAATGGAAAAGTTATTTGCTCCATAGATGAGGATGTTCCTTTCGCTTTATCACCATCCTTACAAGACAAAATGTATTCACTAGTGACCAAATCTCCTCTGGACAGAGAGAAACAGTCACAATATGACCTGACAATAACTGCAAAAGATGCTGGTCAACCTCCACTATCCTCTGAAAAGACAATAAGTGTTGCAGTGTCAGATGTGAATGACAACAGTCCAGAGTTTTCACTCAGCCCCTATACTTTCTATGTCACTGAAGCTAATGAGCCTGGTACATCTGTGTTCTCAGTGAAAGCGTTTGATCATGATGAGAATGACAATGCACATATTTCCTATCATATTCTCCGAGATGGAAGCGAAGATAATAAACTGACGTCATTTCTCAACATAAACTCTGAAAATGGAGACATTTTGGCACTAAAAAGTTTTGACTTTGAAACACTGAAAACTTTCCACTTCCACATTGTTGCGTCAGATTCTGGAACTCCGTCACTAAGCAGCAACGTCACAGTAAACGTGTTCATTCTCGATCGAAACGACAACGCTCCAGTCATCCTGTATCCACTCAGCTCCAACGGTTCTGCTGAAGGTGTGGAGGAGATTCCCCGCAATGTGAACGCAGGACACTTGGTGACTAAAGTCAGAGCCTATGACGCTGATATAGGATATAACGGCTGGTTACTGTTTTCACTGCAGGAAGTTACTGACCACAGTCTCTTTGGTTTGGACCGCTATACAGGACAGATCAGAACACTTCGCTCATTCACAGAGACAGACGAGGCTGAACATAAACTGGTCATACTGGTCAAAGACAATGGAAACGTTTCACTCTCAGCAACAGCTACTGTGATTGTCAAACTTGTGGAGCCCAAAGAGGCTTTTGCAGCTTCTGATGTGAAAAGTTCAGCAAAAGCAGATGATGATAATAATGTGACTTTTTACCTGATGATAACTTTGGGCTCAGTTTCAGCACTTTTTCTCATCAGTATCATCGTGCTGATTGCAATGCAGTGCTCAAAATCCACAGACTATACTTCTAAATATCTACAAGAGACTAACTATGATGGGACGCTGTGTCACAGCATCCAGTACAGATCTGGAGACAAACGGTACATGTTAGTTGGACCCAGAATGAGTATAGGATCTACTATAGTCCCGGGAAGCCATGCGAATACACTAGTGCTTCCTGACAGGAGGAAAACATCTGAGGAGGTAAGAAAGATTGTTTTGCATAAAGGCAGTTCTGTTATGAATACTAGTAACAGATGAAACATTAGTGATATAAGTGTGCCAAAAACTTTGAATCACACTGCCTGTTAAGAACAGGTGGATTGAAATGTACTATAAAATTTATCACTGACGGAAATGAGAAGGTTGTATATTTTTTTATGCAGAGTTAAGTTATTGGTTTACAGGTGGTTCTACAGTTGGTTTTCTCCTAGACCAGGTTGTTAATTGATTAAATTAAACATTGGACTTCAGTTAGTCTGCTGTGACATTAACTCCATGTTGTTGTGTCCCTGGAGAGAGAGCTAAGCGCAATAAATACAATACTATCTTTTTTTGAATATTTTTACATAGTTTTATAGTACTTCTGTGCAATCTGAGTACACATTTATCCAGGTTGCCATCACATGATATATGGTAATTTATGACAATAATAGTTGCTGTTTGGAGAAATAGTCTCTGCTCTTAAACGTGCCTCTCAATAAACTGTAGCAGTTCTCATTGAACAGCATGTTAATTCCACATTGATTACTTCCAATAGCTGAATGCATCACAGAATTCACTGGCTTCCATGTGCAGATGTTTCAAATGCAATTGGTGATATTTAAGAACATGAATGTATAAAATTTCTGATGAAAATCAGCACCTTGGTCTTTTCTAGCTGATATCATGTTGATTTGTTTTTGGATACACATAGTGTTGTGAATTTGTTAGATAGTTGGAGATATAATGCACTTTTCCATAACATTCAAGTATGCAGGAATAGTGTCGCAATTTAAGCACTGTAGTGTGTGAGTTTGACGTATGTAAGTGCAGCAGGAAGCGTCGCTGTCCGTGGTGCTGAAAGGTCTGCCATGATACGCTGCCGTTTCTCTTGAAATGTTACACAAATAAGTACTTCGTAGGAGCAAAGGTACTTCCAAATAACAGCTTTTTGAGGTGGGAACTCATTGTCACTCCAGCCCATTGCTTCATAAAAAGGACTTAATGACTATATTTTTTATTACATTAAACGGACTGTTTGTCTAATTTTCCTTATCTTTTCGTTATTTGATTTTACAGTTATAAATGAACAGTGCTGCAATAACGTTGTGGATCGCATGGTGTCGGTATAAAGGCAAATAGTGTATATAGATCTTTTCGTCATCACCATAAGGTCCAACCTTTTTGGCATTACGTGAAAAGGGCTTGAACATGAAACTAGCTCTGCATGATTTCTGGCGCTGAATTGACGATGGAGCGCAATTTACAAAGGAATAAGGCTGTTTATCATTTCTTGACCAAACAACTATAGATTTGGAGTTTTGTTTATTTATTTAATTTTTTACATTATGGAACAAAGCGGACGCCAGGCGTGGATTGAGCGATGGATATGCATCGCCTACATGGTGCTTTTGGTAACGTTTTGGAGCGAAGCCTCAGCTCAGATTAGATATTCCATTTCCGAAGAGGTGAAAAAAGGAAGTATTGTTGGAAACATAGCGAAAGACTTGGGAATTGATAAGGCTACGCTGAAAGACAGAGAGTATCGCATTGTTGGCAGTTCAACGGAACCCCTCTTTCATTTGAATAAAGACGACGGTATCCTGTATGTCAATAGGAAAGTGGACAGGGAAGAGATCTGTGAACGAAGCAACGCGTGTGTAATCAACCTTAAAACAGTACTGGAAAACCCTCTGGAAATCCATTATGTGGTCATAGAGGTGCTGGACATAAACGACCATTCCCCCATCTTTCCAGAGAAAGAGAAACGACTGGAGATATTTGAATCGACATTACCGGGAGCAAGGTTCCAGCTCCAACCTGCACGCGACCCAGATGGTGGTCAGTTTTCTGTTCAACAGTATAAGTTGAGTCAAAACGACCACTTTCGTTTGGAAGTTAAGGAGAGAGGCGAAGACCGTAAGATGCCCTTTCTGATTTTGCAGAAGCAGTTAGACAGAGAGGCTAAGAGAGAACACAAGCTTCTGCTCTCAGCTATTGATGGTGGGAGGCCGGCGAGGTCTGGAACAATAGAAATACTGATCGAGGTGCTTGATGTTAATGACAATACACCAGTTTTTACACAAGATGTATATTCTGCTACTCTAAATGAAAACGCGGCCCCTGGTACGTTAATTATTCAGGTTAATGCGACAGATTTGGATGAGAGCACAAACAGCGAAATTGTTTACTCGTTTGGTAAAGAAGTGGATGTAAATGTGCAAAAACTGTTTAACATAGACTCGGAGACTGGGGAAATTATAGTGATGGGTGTAATTGATTTTGAAGAGAAGAAAAGCTATGATATTGATATACAAGCTTCAGATAAGGGGCCCGTTCCTTTGTCCACAGACAGAACTGTGGTAATAAAGGTAATCGACCTTAATGATAATTCTCCAGAGATTGAAGTTACATCATTCTCCAAATCAGTTCCCGAGGATTCTAGAACTGGAACAACAGTAGCTTTGATCAGCGTCAATGATTTGGACTCAGGCCTCAATGGAAAAGTTTCTTGCTTCATACGCGAGAACGTTCCTTTCGGTATTTCTCCATCCTTGCAGGATAATATGTTCGCCATAGTAACCAAGTCTCCACTGGACAGAGAAGAAAATTCTTTTTATGAACTTTCAATTGTTGCTAAGGACACTGGTGAGCCACCCCTCTCATCTGAAAAGACAATATCTGTGGTTGTATCAGATGTGAACGATAACAGACCACAGTTTTCCCTGAGCCCATACACGTTTTATGTAACTGAAAACAATGACCTAACAGCACCGGTATTTTCAGTCAGGGCATCTGATCTTGATGAGAGTGATAATGCGCATATTTCATATCACATTCCGAGGGACAGCAGCGGAGATAGTATTGGTCTGTTTTTAAATATTAACTCTGAAAGTGGGGCTATTATGGCGCTAAAAAGTTTTGACTTTGAAACACTGAAAACTTTCCAGTTCCAAGTCTCTGCGTCAGATTCTGGAACTCCGTCACTAAGCAGCAACGTCACAGTGAATGTGTTCATTCTGGATCAAAACGACAACGCTCCAGTCATCCTGTATCCAGTCAGCTCTAACGGTTCAGCTGAAGGTGTGGAGGAGATTCCCCGCAACGTGAACGCAGGACACTTAGTGACTAAAGTCAGAGCCTATGACGCTGATATAGGATATAACGGCTGGTTACTGTTTTCACTGCAGGAAGTTACTGACCACAGTCTTTTTGGTTTGGACCGCTATACAGGACAGATCAGAACACTTCGCTCATTCACAGAGACAGACGAGGCTGAGCATAAACTGGTCATACTGGTCAAAGACAATGGCAACGTTTCACTCTCAGCAACAGCTACTGTCATTGTCAAACTTGTGGAGCCCAAAGAGGCTTTTGCAGCTTCTGATGTGAAAAGTTCAGCAAAAGCAGATGAGGATAATAATGTGACTTTTTACCTGATGATAACTTTGGGCTCAGTTTCAGCACTTTTTCTCATCAGTATCATCGTGCTGATTGCAATGCAGTGCTCAAAATCCACAGACTATACTTCTAAATATCTACAAGAGACTAATTATGATGGGACACTGTGTCACAGCATCCAGTACAGATCTGGAGACAAACGGTACATGTTAGTTGGACCAAGAATGAGTATAGGATCTACTATAGTCCCTGGCAGCCATGCAAATACACTAGTGCTCCCTGACAGGAGGAGAACATCTGAAGAGGTAGGGTGATCGTCCACCCATACATATATTGTATCCGTCTGTCTGTCTGTCTCCTTGTTTTTGAGTCACAGCTCAATTGATCAGCCTCATTATTTCCAGTATTCTTACATGAACTATGTGTGGGCTTTACGTTTATTTTTGAATGGTGTATTTGTTTTACTTTGTACATCTCATCAAATAAAACCTGCTATTAGTTGTAATAATAATAATAATAATAATAATAATAATAATAATAATAATAATAATAATAATAATAATAATAATGATAATAATACTATCATAATTCAGTTTAAATGGTGCGTTTATGTATATCTTGGTAAACATATGAAATAAGTCTAAAATATTTTTATTTTGCAGAAGCAATTTGTATTTCCTGCTAGGCAGCATCTGATCGCATGATGTCACTGCGCAGGCAGGGCTGTGTTTCTGTATAGCATGCCCTGATAAAGAAGATCTCCCCATAGGTAGTTCGGCAATTATTCGGTAAAGGCAGCATTTCACGGTTTCTGTGGATGCTGGATCTGTAAATTACACAGCATTCTTTTTTCTCACATTTTTTGTATGGACTATCTGATGGCTGACCTCTCTTTTTACAATTTAGTTATATTCTGATTTTTTGGGATTTATATCTGTTTTGCCCTTCAAATATGGCAGAAAAAGGAGGATGGCGGACGGTACTGGTCGCTCTGGTGACTGCAACGTTTATGTTGTGGGATGTTAGCACCGCACTGGCAAGATACACCGTTTCTGAAGAGCTTAAAGAAGGCACTCGCGTTGGAAATATTGCTAAAGACTTAGGACTGGATCTTGGAACTTTAAAGGCTAGGGGATTCCGGATTGTATCTGGTTCGAACGAGCCAATGGTCCAGGTGAATCAGAACGATGGCAATATGTACGTAAATAAAAAAATAGACAGGGAGGAGGTGTGTGAGCGGAGTAGTACATGTCTGATCAATTTGAAAGCTGTGCTAGAGAACCCATTAGAAATCCATTATGTCTCAGTGGAGATTCAAGATATAAATGACCACAGTCCCACCTTCCCTGAAAATGAGGCGCGTCTAGAGATATTTGAGTCAGCGCTGCCCGGTGAACGCTTCCAGCTCCATGCTGCGCGCGATCCAGACAGCGGGATATATTCTGTTCAACAATATAAACTTAGTCAGAATGATCATTTCCGTTTGGAGGTAAAAGACAGAGGAAACGATGGTAAAATTCCCATTTTGTACCTACAAAAATCACTGGACAAAGAAACTGAGAGACATCATAGGCTTTTGCTGTCTGCCATTGATGGAGGAAAACCTCCTCTGACAGGGACTACGGAGCTGTTACTTGAGGTTTTGGATGTTAACGACAATCTACCCATATTCACGAAGGATTCATATTCCGTCCTGCTACCTGAAAATTCGCCAGTTGGTACAACGGTCATTCAAGTGAACGCTACTGATTTAGACGACGGTTTGAACGGCGAAGTCTTTTACTCATTTGGAAGTAATGTTAATGGTAAATTGCGTAAACTTTTTGACATAGACGAAACAACAGGTGAAATAACTGTTAAAGGACTGATAGACTTTGAACAGAAGGATCGATATGAAATCGACATAAAAGCATCTGATAAGGGCACTGTTCCTTTAAAAACGGACAAAAGCGTAATAATAAATGTAGTGGACCTAAACGACAATATTCCCGAGATCGAGGTAACATCCTTTTCTAGCGCTATTCCAGAGGACTCTAAACCTGGAACCACAGTCGCACTTATTAGTGTCAGTGACTTGGACTCTGGACTGAATGGGAAAGTTATTTGTTTTATTCGTGAGAATGTCCCTTTTACCTTAAATCCGTCCCTACAAGATAATATGTATTCTGTTGTCACAAAATCATCTCTGGACAGAGAACATCAGTCACATTATGATGTCACAGTAGTTGCAAAAGATGGAGGCGATTCAGCTTTATCCTCTGAAAAAACAATAAGTGTTGATGTTTCTGATGTAAATGACAACAGTCCAGAGTTTTCACTCAGCCCCTATACTTTCTATGTCATAGAGAGTAACACCCCAGGAGCATCATTATTTTCTGTAAGGGCCTCTGATTGTGATGAAAATGAGAATGCCCTTATTTCTTATCACATTATCAGAGGTGGAACTGAAGATAAAAAACTTACTTCATTTCTAAACATTAACTCTGATAATGGAGACATCCTGGCACTAAAAAGTTTTGACTTTGAAACACTGAAAAATTTCCAGTTCCAAGTCTCTGCGTCAGATTCTGGAACTCCGTCACTAAGCAGCAACGTCACAGTGAACGTGTTCATTCTGGATCAGAACGACAACGCTCCAGTCATCCTGTATCCAGTCAGCTCTAACGGTTCAGCTGAAGGTGTGGAGGACATTCCCCGCAACGTGAATGCAGGACACTTGGTGACTAAAGTCAGAGCCTATGACGCTGATATAGGATATAACGGCTGGTTACTGTTTTCACTGCAGGAAGTTACTGACCACAGTCTCTTTGGTTTGGACCGCTATACAGGACAGATCAGAACACTTCGCTCATTCACAGAGACAGACGAGGCTGAGCATAAACTGGTCATACTGGTCAAAGACAATGGCAACGTTTCACTCTCAGCAACAGCTACTGTCATTGTCAAACTTGTGGAGCCCAAAGAGGCTTTTGCAGCTTCTGATGTGAAAAGTTCAGCAAAAGCAGATGAGGATAATAATGTGACTTTTTACCTGATGATAACTTTGGGCTCAGTTTCAGCACTTTTTCTCATCAGTATCATCGTGCTGATTGCAATGCAGTGCTCAAAATCCACAGACTATACTTCTAAATATCTACAAGAGACTAACTATGATGGAACACTGTGTCACAGCATCCAGTACAGATCTGGAGACAAACGCTACATGTTAGTTGGACCCAGAATGAGTATAGGATCTACTATAGTCCCGGGCAGCCATGCGAATACACTAGTGCTCCCTGACAGGAGGAGAACATCTGAAGAGGTAAGAAAGATTGTTTTATATCAGGGCATTTGTGGAGTGAATGCTAGTGACAGATGAGATGCACATTCTAATAAGTTAAGTGCCAAAAAATACTAAATTCCACCACCTATTCCGAACAGATGGATAGAAATAGACTATAAAATTCATTACTGAGGGAAAAGAGGGGGTTGTGTGTTCTTGTGAGAGTGAGCCAAGTTTACAAGTGGTTTTGGGTTGGATCTCACTGCAGTTGTGTGTACAGTGTGCTGTATTGGAACCTAAATGCTGTTGTGTCTTTATGTACTTAAAAATCAAATGAACCGCATGGAATCATAAAACCTCTCCTTCAATTAGGGCAGAGTTCATCAAGGAATGAAATGTTTAATGTGTATCGCTGTGAAATATTGGATGAATTAATTTCAAAGACAAGGGAGATACTGCTGTGAGTAGTTACAAATAAACAAATCCAAAGTAAACGTTTTTCGCTGAAACAAAATTAATGCATCTGTCCTCTGCATCTTTCTCTCTGCTTTGTGTTACATGACATCTCATATTCCGTGCACTGACCATTTTGTTTATTAATAATTTAGAGTGTAATGTGCCTACCTCAGACCATGTGTGGTTGTGTCATAGAAGGTCATAAATTCCTTTTAAAACACAATAAATGCCTCATTTTGAGCAGATCTGTGAAGTAAGGACAGGTTTATGGTCACTGTTTTAATAAAATTAAGTTTAGTTAATTCCAGTAGCCACTGGCTGTTTGTTTTAGCTTATCTTTGAAATATCTGAAAGAAAATTTTGTTCCCACAATAACTATTGCGGCTTTTCCGAACACCTGCATCATTTAAGCAACTACATCCTCCACGTCAGATATAATGTTCTTTCACTACCTAAATATCCAGATAGTCATTTGAAAAAGACATGTCATTATTATATATCTTTTCTGTTTAACACAGAGTACAGGAATTATGGTGTGTGTATTTTACAGACATGTACAACCAGTACATGTTTTTCTGCTCTACATGTCTGTCTGTAAGGGTTGACACGTGTGTGAAGGGAGTGACTGACCGGCTTACAGAGTAACTCGCTAATGTAGCCGTGGTGGTTCAGTGGGCTATGAATGACTGGAGCTACGACAGAGAGAGGAGGGGAGAGAGCCTGCGGCTGATGTGCAGTGAATCACAATGTACAACCAGTCAGGTGGGGTTGGGACACTTTGCTTCAGCAGGGATCTTCATTCATTACAGGACTGCAAATCAGCAAGCAGTATATTTCTACTACTTGTCATTTGATTGAGCTATTGAGCTTTGGACTTGAAAAATACTAGACAGTGATGTAAAAGAGTGAATACAGTTCATGTACATACACACTAGCTTCTGAGCAGTTGATCCCTTTTGACTGACTGAAAAAATAGGTCATTTTTTGTCACATGTGTGAAGGTCTACATGCGGCTTCATGGCTGATTATCTGTTGAACACTGTGCGTTGCCCATAGCAACACACTGGGAGATCCACCTCTCGGAGTCTACTGGTTTCCACAGACTAGCATGCACTCAGCGGTCTTAGCAACAGCAGCGGAAGAGGATGAAGGAGGGAGGGATAGAGAGAGCAGTAGAGGAGGGGGAGGGGAAGTGGCTTTTGTAGAGCTCATCTATAGACATCTCACAATATTTAATGAAAATGGGTTTATTTAGATAGAAACACATGGATTACGTTAACAAAATCTCCATTGTAAATCAGGCAGCAGATGGTGCAGATATAGAAGCAATAGTAAAGGCAGGAATAGTTGATCTTCTAATTAGATATTTTATAGTATGAAGATAATCTTTTCTCGCAAACAACTGGGTCAACCTTAGATTTCCCAGCTAGAAAATAACATGTATTTTAAACTGTCATTAACTTTGTCTTCGTTGAAAGCCGGTGTATTTTGACCCACTGAGCAGCGTGTGGAATACAGCAGTAAGCTAGAGTGGAGTCTGAAGGGAAAGGATCGGTTCAGATTCAGAGTAAAGTAGCGGCTCAGCTTCATTATGTG